TTTTAATTTGACGTATCCCACTTGTCTGCCTTCATTTTTGTAGCCTGTGGTATTTTTATTCAACAAATTACTGCCCAGAATAATGTCATGCAGCTGACATTATTTCCCTATGTTTTCTTCTAGTAGTTTTATATGTAGCTTCCAGTCTTAAATTTAAGTCTTTAATCCATTTTGAGTTGATTTTATATAAGAGTTTAATGTATTTCTTCTGCAGGTGAAATATCCAATGTTCTCACACTACTTGTTGAAGAGACTATTCTTTCCTTTTGTGTGTTCTTGGAACCTTTGTTAAAGCAATCTCACAACTAGGTATAAACACAAAGGGAAATAAATTATTCTACCAAAAAAACACATGCACACATATGTTCATTGCAGCACTATTCACAACAGCAAAGACATGGAATCAGTCTAGGTGCCTGACAATGGTGAGCTGGATAAATGAGATGTAGTACACATACACCATGAAATAATACACAGCCATAAAAAGAAGAAAATCATGTCCTTTACAGCAACATGGATAGTTCAGGAGGCAATTATCCTAAGCAAATTAACACAGAAACAGAAATCAAAATACTGCATGTTCTAATAAGTGGGAGCTAAACATCAATTATACATGGACATAAAGGTGGGACCAATAGACAATGAGTGCTACTAGAATGGGTAGGAGAGGAGGGAAACGTGGACTGAAAAACCACCTATTGTCTACTATGCTCACTACCTGGGAGATGGATGAGACCATTCATACCCCAAACCTCAGCAATACACAATATACCCATGTAACAGATATGTACATGTACTTCCAAATCCCACATTTTAAAAAGTTAAAATAAACTGACCACAAACTTGTAACATTATTTTTGGACTCACTCAAGTAGATTTGTAGTAATGTACACAGATTGTAAAGTTTTAGTGAAAAAAAAACTAGGTATTTTAATGTACTAAGAATTATGCACTTACAAACTGATTAAAACAATTGATTAGACAGATTGTTGTGAAATTTAAATATATTTTAGCATAATAAAGAATTCATTATTCCTATGGATTACCCCATTATCTTTAAATATAAAATTCAACATTAAGATTGATACATTTTATATGTTATCACTAATTTAAAATAATTAGAAATGTAGTAACCATTGAGTGAAATATTTTCCTATCATGGCATATCATGTTATTCTATGAATGATAGTTTGTATATTTGCAGTACAAATTTAAATTTAGCTGTTAACTTTTATCATCTTTCCTTGGAGGTGAGTTTATATTTAAGACTAATGGATATATCTTTTCTTCATTAATTACTACCTTAAATATAAAAAAGCAGGTTTTCTGCAAACTTGAACTTAACATATGATTTAGCAAAATCTCAAAATCATATTTCATTTTGCTTAAATTAAGGACTATCTAAGCTACCTAATCATTTATATTCTTTTTTTATTTTCTAAGGAAATACATTGACTATATCAGGTAGAGGGATTACTGTAAAGTCAGAGTGACATAGTAATAATTTATAACCCTAAGAATTTCTGTGAAATAATTTATTCTGGGGATTATCAGAGCATTTATTTCCAGTTCCAGATGAGATTTCAAGGACTACAAACTTATAATAGTACTCGGGCATACAAATTTGCTTAGAAATTTAAAAATATGGCCTAGGCGGGTGGATCATGAGATCAAGAGATTGAGACCATCCTGGTCAACATGGTGAAACTCCGTCTCTACTAAAAATACAAAAAATTAGCTGGACATTGTGGCGCGTGCCTGTAATCCCAGCTACTCGGGAGGCTGAGGCAGGAGAATTGCTTGAACCCAGGAGGCGGAGGTTGCGGTGAGCTGAGACCATGCCATTGCACTTAAGCCTGGGTAACAAGAATGAATCTCCATCTCAAAAAAAAAAAAAAGAAAAAAAATTTAAAAATACATATTTGAGTTTGGATTAATAAAAATTGCTGAAAACTTTACATGAAAACGGAAAACATTTTAGTATTCTTCTTGAAAATATCTCAAAACAATTCCAAAGTATATGGAGTAATGAAAGTAGTCAACCATGCTTAGAAAACATGATTCTGGAATTAAATTCTGTGTTCTATAAAATAAGGCATTTAAGCCCTGGTGCTCATATGACCCTCAAATTAAAGCAGAAGCAAAATTAGAAAGGAATTATGAAAATGTTAAATTAGTTCAATAATCTGCTTTTTATTCTCATAAAATATGTCAATGTAAATATTTTATAACTAAATAGGCTTCCAAATATTCAGGGTAATTATCACTTACAAAATCTTCACTTGTGATGTGGCATGTGTGTGTATATATACTAAAATTTATAGGAATATATAGGGCTTGTGTTCAGATGCTGTAGACTGAAATCTAGCAGGTCTGCATTGAAAGAGGACACAGAATGAGGAAGTAAACAGAGAAGTTGTAATTTTAGTTAAGGTTTGCATAAGTACTTCCCAAGCAGGGAGTCCTTAGATGAAACTTCAGTTTCTTAACTTTAACTCCACATGTATTCCCTATGCTGTCTATGTGTTTGTATATGTGTGTATGAGTGTGTGTGCATTTTTGTTGTTATAACTGATCAAAATCTCCCAGAAGTAGTAATTCAGAGATAAGGAAGTAGATACATGAAGCTCCTGTTACTGCAGGTACTGATGCATGTTTTTCGACAAACTCATAAAACTTGTGACTATGCATGGCAGAGCATTATGTTAAGTATGCAAATATGAGCATATGTTTCTAGATAGTTACATTAAAGAAAGTGTTATGTTGAATCTCTGTAACAGCAGTTAACCTCTATATGAGGTAACTATAATTGCATTGCTTAACAGAAAAATACGAATTTTGATTGAATTGAGACCTTCAAGATAAAAATACAAATTAAAATTTGATAACTATGAAAAAGGTAAAGGGGATCAATCAGATCAAACACAAGAAAGAAAGGAAAAAAGATAAACCTTTCAAGAATTAAAATAATATAAAATAGTATGAAACTTTTTAAGTATAAACTTTTTAAGTTTATACTAGTATAACGTTTTATGTTTATGCTTAGTATAAACTTTTTAAGTTTAATAAGTTAGTGAAAAGAAACCACTAGAGATAAATTTTTAGTATGTTAATTAAGGTATTCTCAGTGTATATAAAACACATAATACACAATCTACAAAATGTAGCTGTATGATCTTTACAAGCTTAATGCTGTTTGTTTATAGGCAGAAAGCAAACTCCCGAGCCAGGCCACTTTGGATAAGATTATTTCAAAATAGTTACTCAGAATAGGGTATGTTGTAATTTCCATTTCACAGAATAAAAAGCAGAAAACTAGCAAAATATACAGGAATTGAACAATCATGTTTATAGAAATCTGACCACATATTCATATTTTATAAGCACATGTGCAATATTAATATTTGACTATATATATATATATACTATATACTAGATGGAAAGATGCAAGGAGTCCAAGTTTTTGAAAACCTATAAAACACCACCAGTCTTTTAGTCTTTTTGTTTTATAATGATATGAACAACATTGAGTTACAAACCATTGTTAATTGGATTTTCTAATATTTTCAGCCAATATTTGTTTAAATTCGGAGTCCTGAGGCCAAACATAACTACATGGGCAAAAACGTTTATTGAAGAAATATTTCACCACTTTTGCTTGCAATCTATGCTGATAATTTTCCCATTAACTGTTCATTTCGAATTAAATTGAATCTAGTGAAAAGACTTCCAGATGGAAGTACAGTTCAGTAACATGGTGCGACTTCTAAAGAACAATGAAGTTACTTTTTGTTGAAGACTGTGTGATTTGATGACCTTTGAATTTTTGATGGCTTGAGTTCTATCAGTTATGACTATATTTTGTTTTTTGAGACAGTTGTTAACTGTGCATGCTTGCATTGAAACAGATTTCATTTTACTCTGGAGCTACAGAAAGAATAATCCTCTTATAATGTGAAAAAGATTTTACTTGAGGTTTAACTTTATATAAAATGTAATATATTTTATTGCATTATATAAAATATAGAATATTTTGTTACTTATTTTTCTAAGTGTTTTAAAAATGTGACATCTAATTTTGTAATTTCAACTTTCTAAGTTTTGAAATGTTAAGAAAAAAGTTTAAAAAGGCAGAGAAGTCTCAGATTATTTGGTTGACACTTGTTTTGCTTGGCATTTGGTTGTCATTTCTCTTTATTCCAATTTTAGAGCAGTTCTGCCACATTTATTTCATTTTATTTTCCAAGTGATTAATAGCTTTAAGGTGCCAGGAGAGTTGTCTTGTAGAATTCTTTCAGCTGTTTTCTTTGCATTGATTTAAAAATTAATCTGTTAGTCTTATATTCATTTTTCTTATTTTTAAAGAAGTCATTTATATAGTTTCAAATTTAAGAGGACCTGTCCAGATTTTAAATTTTGTTTTTAAACACAGCTCTTACTTGATATTATTATTATTTACTGAAATGGAGTCTCTGTTGCCCAGGCTGGAGTGCAGTGGTGTCATCTGGGCTCACTGCAACCCCCACCTCCAAGGTTCAAGTGATTCTCCTGCCTCAGCCTCCCCATTAACTGGAACTACAGGCATGCACCACCATGTTTGGCTAATTGTGTGTGTGTGTGTGTGTGTGTGTGTGTGTGTGTGTGTGTGTGCGTGCGTGTATGTGTATATATATGTGTGTATGGTATTTTTAGCAGAGATGGGTTTCATCATGTTGGCCAGGCTAGTCTTGAACTCCTGATCTCAGGTGACTCACCCACCTCATCCCCCCAAAGTGCTTGGATTACAGGCATAAACCATCATACCTGGATATAACTGGGTGTTTATAATAATATAGTATGAAAACTCTGGGAATTAGATGCCCCTCCTTTCCCAGGATTTGTCTTTATTGCTGTTTTATTGCTGTTCTGTTTGCCTTGATTAATTTTCTAAATTTTTTTTTTTCATGTGTGACCATGAACATCTCTTTTTCTATTAGCTTAGTTGCCTGCTAATGCTTGGACAGAGACTTTTTAAATGTCTTGGACCAGTATTTCTCTCACCATTTCTTAAGGAGCTCTATTTGAATTAAGGTACGCCTTCAATGATCTTAAAGTTTACAACTCTACCTTAGTATCCACTTCTGGCTTGCACAGAGCCTGAATTACTGTCAGAACCCAGATTAGGGACTTCTTTCTTTTCTGTGTGTGGTCTGTTATATTCCCATTAATATAACAGAGAGCTTTTCAAAGCCCCCAGTGAATATCTCATTTTTCAGGGTTTTAAAAATTTATTGGCCAATCATATGTTTGCTCCACTTGGTGTTACTGCCTCATACTACTACAGTAGTCAACAATTTCCCCTAATTATTTTAGACAATTTTTTTTTTTTTTATGATAGGAATTTCATCACTTAGGGAAATCTGAGTCAGTTCAAATAAAACAAACCTTTAGTTTTTTGAGAAATTGCCAGACAGGTGAAATAGTAGTAATTCTCTTGGAATGGGTCTTTAGGGAACAAAAGTTATTTTTTCCCTCTCAAATGTATGCTTGGATGCTGGCTTTCTCAGCTGCCATAATTTGATGTTACTGATTATTAAGAATACCACAAGGATGCAAAGAGAGATATGGGATAATCAGTGGAATTATTTAGAGTTTTTCTACTCAGTTAAAACATCACAAATATCTCTGTTCTTACTGAAACTCATCTTATTTTCTTTATTTAATTGCATTTTTTAAATTAACAAATAATAATTATACATCTTCATGAAGTACATAGTAATGTTTCAGTACCTAAGCAGTGTGGTGAGCAAATAAGGGTAATTAGCATACCTATCATCTCAAACATGTATCAGTTATTTGAAGTAGAAATTTTCAATGTCCTTCTAGCTATTTGAAATTATATGTTATTGTTAGCTGTAGTCCTTCTATGGTATAGAATACATAAACTCATTCCTCCTATTTAGCCATAATTTTGTAACTGTTAACAAATCTCTGTCTCTCTCTTCCCATCCCAGATAATATTGTTTACATGTTTGTCCATTCCAAATCTCATGTTGAAAAGCAATCCCCAATGCCAGCAGTGGGACCTAGTGGGAAATCTTTGAGTCATGGTGGCAGCTCTCTCATAAAAGTCTTGGTGACAAGTCAAGGTAATGAATTTGCCCACTTTTGAAATCGAAAATATTTTCTGCTGTTGAAATGTTTCTGATCATTGAATTTTTACAAGCTTTGGTTAATAATTTTTACAGTTATGAAAAATGTGATTTTTGACAATATTTGCCAAGAATCGTATTACTTGCATTTTGAGTCAATTTTGGAGGCTCTTATTCTATCATTCTGGACATTCTGGTTTCTGGAATAGGTTTCTGGAGAAAGTCAAGTGTCTTTAAAAAAATCTCTACTTTTAAAGGACATTGGTAGCTTCAGATAACATTCTCTCTAAACTATTAGCTCTTAGGTTATATTTAGATTAGTTTTAATGTGACTTTTCATTTAGATATTAAAGATATGTATGAATCCTTCATAGTAAGATTTAGAGATACTGATGATACAAGTTGAACACATCAGTATCTCATTGTCTGTTTTGGATAAGTCATTCATCTAGTCTATATTTTGTTCTAATATATTTATGATACAATAATTTTTACTAACTACATTTCTTTTAAAATCTCAGATTTTTTTTTTTAATTTTGGCTTGTTTTTTGGGAAAATAATATCTAAAAATTATGTAAATTTTACACTGTGTATGCCCTAAGAGAGTCCAGAAAAAAAGAAAGAAAAAAAAAAACAGCTCTAACCTTTGATGAGTCATGTAAGTACCTGGGGATATGCTTCTGCTTGTCTGCTTACTCTGGGTTCTGCGTATTAGTGTCAGATTAAAGTCATTGTATTCTACCTTACATCGTGTAAATGAGAAATATTCATAGGTAATGCTATTGATTCTCAAGAAGCTTTACAAAACTGATATGGAAGTATTTCACCGCAATATTAAGTTAGAATGTTGTGTATGCAAATATATGCCCAAAGAATGTATGTGTCACATGCTCATAATTAGTGAATTAATGTTTTCATAGCTGTTAAGGAAATCTCTAAATTTACCTTCAAGATTTTTGTTTGAAGAAGAATTGAAACAGGTTGAGAGCTGATAAAGTTTAAATTGATCAAATAAAATTCTTTACAAGTCAAAATATATGTAGAAAATAAGTAGATATAGAATAAGATATAGAATAATTATGTCATTTTACTCCTAGTTATTTAAGATAAATACATTAGATCTGAAAGCTCTATCATATATTTACTCTAATGAAAGACAAATTATATTATCTCTGATTTTTAACTGCAAACATTCATTTGTGTAAAACACAAATACTTATTTTCCATTTTACCTTGAATTTTTACTTTATATTTCCCTATTTTTTGTCTTATGTTTTAGAGTATTAAGGGAAATGTGAACAAGTTGTGAGTGATTCAGCTATTCTCCTCCAGACAAAGTGGCACAGGTAAAGTAATCATGTACATCTGACCTTTAAAATGTAATACTCCAGTGATTGCCAAAAGGCCAGTTCGATGTTTTACTGTGCTGCTGCACTTTCACATGTAATAATCAAGAGTTGACATTTATAAAACTGCTGATGCACTCTGGTGACACCCTGATATCTGAGGTGTTATATGATTCTATCTTTAAGATAGTAATGGATATGTAAGTGTATTAGAGGACGAAATACTTGGGAACTTTGATCAAAAACTTTTATCACTTAGTTAACCAAGTATTTAAAAACATAAATATAACTTTATAGGTATTTGCTGTGAATACACAAATTCATGTTCATTTTATTCAAAGTGATCATTTAAATAAATCAGTAAGACAAATAACACATAAAGAAGGTTGAAAACAAATGTAAAATAGTTTTTAAAATTGACAACTTTTAATATGATTTTTCACTTTCCCTCTATATCATTAAATATGTTTATTTAGCAATATATTTTCACAAGAGGGCAAATGGGAGATCTCCATGGGCTGTGAAAAAAAAAAAAACCTTACTGAAATATTTTTATCATTTTTATAAATTTCATCTAGAAAAATTATTTCTAATATGGTCTGAAATTTTAAATAATTGCAATAGAGGATAAGTGAATTTTAATTCACTTATCACTATTTTAATATATACATAATTATTTTATCTAAAATATCTAGATTTACAACAATTTCATTCATCAAATACATGTGCATAGTTTTTGAGACAGAGTTTCACTCTGTCACCCAGGCTGGAGTGCTATGGCACGATCTCGGCTCACTGCAACCTCCACCTCCCAGGTTCAAGCAATTCCCCTGCCTCAGCCTCCTGAGTAGCTGGGATTACAGGTGCGTGCCACCGCGCCCAGCTAATTTTTGTATTTTTAGTAGAGACGGGGTTTCAACATTTTGGCCAGGCTGGTCTCGAACTCCTGACCTTGTGATCCACCCACCTCAGCCTCCCAAAGTGCTGGGATTACAGGCCTGAGCCACCGTGCCCGGTCCCATGTGCATAGTTTTAACCATGCTGGTGAATATCTTCAAGCTAAAAGTTACACAGAAGATAACTTTAGGAAATGCAACTTTATCTAGTATTTATATCTGCATTTAATGGGTTCTTCATAACTTAGAATATCTGCTTTCAATTATATTATAAACATTTTTCTCATGTCTAATGCTTGAGACACATAATTGGAATCATATTTTCAATTGGAATATTCTTCTGGAATTTAACCAAATATGTATAGATTTAATCACATTTGTTTCTTTAAATGTTCTTTCAAAAATATGCAAGATGACATTTTATTAAATTTAGAAAGCAGTGAAATTTACTGATGTCATAGAAAATATTTGTGAACATTTAGGTTTCTTTCACTGTCTTTTCAACAAATTGACCAGTTCAGACATATTTCTGAAGAGACACCTACATAAACACACTTGCAGATAAATACAGGCCCACCATCAACATCTCAAAACGGACATTTGGGGAGTTATTTACCAGCAAACACACATGGACATGCAGTACTCCAGAAAAGAAAAAAAAAAGTTTTATTCAAGATACACTGTTTTATCTTGACTGAAGAGCTATCACTGGAATATTTCTATTTTGTCAAATAGATACTAGAGATACTCTCACCTACTATGTTCTTTGCTGAAATAGCTAAATCTCTGGAAGAAAGTTTACTAAAGTGGTGCCCAGCACTAGGGTATGCTTAAATTTAACCTGAGCATCTTTTTGGAAATTAGTGTGTGATGGTTAACTTGATTGGTCTGAAGGATGCAAAGTATTGGTCATGTGTATGTCTGTGAGGGTGTTGCCAAATGGAATTAACATTTGAGTCAATGGACTTGGAAAGACAGACCCACCCTTAATCTGGGTGGGCACAATATAATCAGCTGCCAGCATAGCCAGAATATAAAGCAGGAAGAAAAAAAATACGTTAAATGGCTGGACTGGCTTAGCCTTTATCTTTCTTCCATGCTGGATGCTTCCTGCCCTCAAACATTGGATTCCAAGTTCTTCAGCCTTGGGACTTGAACTGGATTCCTTGCTCATCTTGCTGATGGCCTCTTGTGGGACCTTGGGTTCATGTAAGTTAATATTTCTTAAGAAACTCTCTCTCTATATATATATAAGCTCTGTTTCTCTAGAGAACACTGACTAATACCAAGTGCAAGCTAATAACTTTTACTGAATACTTGTTGTGTCCAAATCGTGCTGTATTTGTTGAGACAAATTGATAAAGAAAGAAAAGGATACTTAGTAGATGTATGAAATGGCTTGTGTATTAGTGCTTTCTCATACTGCTATGAGGAAATACCTATAATTGGGTAATTTACAAAGAAAAGAGGTTTAATTAACTCACAGTTTTGCATAGAGAGGCCTGAGGAAACTTACAATCATGGTCCCAAATGGTTTTGAGGGGACGCACCCCCAGAAAAGTTGCTTTGATAGTAATGAAGGTTTACTTTTTGTCTTGTAACCTTTGTCATTTCCACGATTTTGCAGTCATATAAGTCATCAAGTTTCCTTAAGGGGGTTCCCCCCTTGTAGTTGGAGTGATAGGTCATTTTTTTAGGGACCCAAGATCAGACTGGGATTGGATGGCAGTATAAACAGTCCTTTGCCAAACCTAAACTGGTGGTATTTCGCAGTCTACGTGTAAAAAGTTCTTAATAAATTTCCATAATTCATTCATTTCCAGTATATGCAGACCTTGGCAGATCATTGTGGGGCCAAAAATACTTTCCTGTTATTTTGCTTTTTGAACAGGAACTTTAGGGTTTGGATACCTATACAGTCAGGAATGATTGTTACGAAAATGAATTAAAATGTTTTGCTTAATTATCACAAAGAAAGTGATTCCATCCATTCAGGAGAAGGCAATTAAACTATAAGCTGGATAATAGTAGCTATTTTTATATTTTTAAAGTAACTATGCAACAAAGACCCCAAACGGAGTTGGTAGGCATTTACTTATCTTTTGACCATCTTTTAAACAGGTACTCCAGGGTCTTCCACACGTTCACTGGCAACTGGACTTTACCCATGTGCCAGCTTGCAGAGGATAAAAGTTTTTGCTAGTATTAATGGACACCTTTACTAGCTGTGTCAAAACTTAACCTACCAGAACAGAGAATGCTAATGAAGTTACAAAGTTTCTCTTAAAGGAGATAAGCACCCAGTTTGGGTAACCCCCAAAACTCCAGAATGATAATGGCCCTTCTTAAGACTCAAGGGATTACTAAGGCTCTTGGAATCAAATAGTATTTAAATTCAGCACAGGGACCTCCATCATCTGGGAAAGCAGAAAGGACTATTCAGAATTTAAAATGGCATTAGCTAAGCTTTATCAGGAAACATCAGAGACTTGGGTCAGCTTACTGCTCATAGCTCTTAAGGGTCTATAATTTTCCAAGAGCAAAAAGTAATATGAGTCCCTATAAAATGTTATACGAGACCATCTTTAATGATCTCAGTACTGCTCCAGAAATTGCCAGTCTAACAGAATATCTAGTTAACTTGGGACAGTTTCAGCAGAGTTTGCAGGAGTTTGGAACTCAATGACTCTCCACACCAGAAAATAACCAGCAACCCAAGATCAGGCCAGGAGAGAAAGCACTTGTTAAAACACAGAAAGGGTGGTCACCTGTTCAACAACTACAACCCGAATGGAAGGGATGTTTTTCAGTGGTGCTGGCCATGCCTTCCCCAGCCAAAGTTGGATCCATTTTTCCAGGGTTAGGTCTGCAATATCTGAAGTCTGAGACCTGAAACACAGAGCTTCCACCTGATCCTATGCCTGTGGCAACTGGAACCTACCCTTCTCCTGGGTAGAGTCCCCTTCTCTGAACTGATTCTATTAGATAGGGTATTTTTGCTTCCTGGATCGTTGAATACACACACTCAGCAGGCTTGGCAGACCTGCTTAACTGCCAAAGCCAAGTTAGGCCCAATGAAGGGCATGTTTACCATAGCAAGAGTGACCTCCTCCCCACATGGAAAGAGTTATGCAGAGTTTTTGTAACTTTTTATCGAGCTGTTAAAGGGAGATATACTTTTGATTCCTTACATCATCAGAATCCTTATTTTTGTCCTCCTTGCTTCTTTATTAACTGTTTTTTCTGTGATGTGTGTTCAGGTTCTATTAGGGAATCATAAAAGGGAAGCAGTCCTAAGATTTGTTCAGATTGCACACTGAAAGCTTTGGCTTTCTTATTAGCCTTTTTGCTCCCTTGTGCTATAAAGATTAAGTCCTTTGATGCCCTCTATAATGGATCATGGCTACAGCCTCTGGCAAGTGTATTGCTTCCAATAGCTGCAGAATTTTAGACCCATGCTTTATGAGGAACATTTTCTCGTTAGTGGTCCCCTTAGTTTCCAAAGGATTGGTAGGAGGAAAGGGCAGCAATACTAAACTCCTGGTTCAGTCTGGTTGAGGGTGTGGCCTTGCTTAGACCTCCCAAGAAAAACCTGCCTATGCTAGCCACGCCCAGCCTTTCGAATCCCAACCTCCTGGGTTCAGAGATCCATGAGGCAAACTTCTTCCTGGCTCTTTCCTCTAAGATATTTCCTATACATGAAGCTATTATACCTTCTTGCTATGACTCTGTGGCTCTTGGGGTGGTAGTCCAGGGACCCTTGACCATGGTGCCCACAGGCTTATGCCTATAAGGACATCCTACAATATAAATACACAAGGGCAGTTCCCTTAGTCCACTGTGCTAGGTTATGTCCTAAAGGAGCCAGAGTCTATTAGTGGCTTCTGGAGGCTGTAGGACATTTTGGTTTTTGTCACCCAAAATTTCCCAATCCAATTGAATGGTGCAAGAATCCAATAACATAAAATTTGTCTTGCCTAGGACTGGCTCTTCATATGGCAGAACTTCTCCATCTGGAATACCATAATCAGAGTAAGTCCGGGGCTCAAGTAGTTAATTACAGGCTCCACAACTCTAAGGGCATATTCCTATGATGGAAAGTGGGATGGGGGAGAAGGCACGGTCCAGAGGGCATTGTTCTGACCTCGGCGATGTGGCCAGCCATTACCTTCTTTAAGATTGATATGCTTAGAGGCTCTTCTCAAGGAGTTTGCTCTCCTAGGGCAGTTTTACGGTCAGGCCTATGTTAATTGAACTCTTGCTAGGGAATATTGGCACCCATCGCCCAGGCCTTACTGGCCTAGTTCAAGGACACGCTGGTACAAGGCCACTAAGCCTGGCAGTCCTTATGTCGTTAAGGTGGCCAAAAAGGATATTAGAAAGTGAGGGTGTGCCAATGACACCACCAAGAGTGATTAAACCCAGTACGTGGGGCACAGGGAAAACTGCAAGGTGCTGTATAACTGGGGGATTCCCCAGGGCTAGCACTTGCAAGGAATAACCAGGGATGTGGGCATTCCTGTGTTCAATTTCAGATGGGTGCTACTCTTCCCAAGGCAAAATCACCGTTAAAGTATATCCTGGATAACTGGGAACAGTATGACCCATAATCTTTGAAAAAGAAGCGGCTCATTGTTTTCTGCCAAATAGCATGCCTGCAATACCATCTGCCAACTGGAGAAACCTGGCCCCCTGACGGAAGTATCAATCATAGCACCCTTCTACAATTAGATCTTTTCTATAAGAGGGAAGATAAATGGATTGAGGTCCCCTATGTACAAGTTTTCTTTTCTCTAAGGGATAATCCTCAGCTCTATAAGGCTTGTAACCTATGTCCTCTGGCCCCTCCTCAGGACTACCCCCATTTCCAGGATACAGACATATTCTTAACCTTTTGTGGGAGGAAATGCAAAGTCACAGGGCAAATACTGTAGATGTAGGAAGAGGAGAAGAAATAGAGATGATTACACTCTCTACCACCTTCTACTATATAAGCATATAGACAAAAATGGTATACATTGCCTCTACCTAAGACATTTAATGAAGCATAAAATCTAAAACCTCAATGACCATTGAAAAGGATATCTTATATGCACTTCAGACATTTGTAAAATATTACTGGCAAGCTAATTGAAGCTTCCATATAGTAATAAACTTTTTACAGGATACTTTTCCTATACTGGTAATTTCCAAATTATCTTTAATGTCAGAATCACATGGAATCTATGTTACATAAAATATTGATGCCGGAAATTTTATTGAACAGGCATTATTTCATATTACATATTTAGTTGTCTACAAAAAGCTTGCTGCTCTCTGGCTAACGAAAGCCAGGGACTATCCAGTACACACAGAAGAGGATAAACAGATACAGACAGAAGCTGCTCAGTTGCTTACAAGTTTCAGTGACAAGAATTGAGAACTTTTCAGAGATGTTTGAAATAGCTAATAAACACTGCCTTTTCGTTGAATTATAAAGTTCGCATATGAAGCATAACTGTTCTATGGCTTTTGAAATGTTGTGACCATTTAACAGTATAAATATAAAAAATTCTAGGTTTCTTCACAAATAATAAGGTAAGAGAAATAATTGCTTTAAGAGTGGTAGAACGAAATCTCCATGGCTCAGGCAGAGAGATTATTTTGCATCTTGGATAGCAGCAATGCAAAACAGGGCTCAGATTTTTGTGTTTTTAACATGTCCTCAGATGATACTGATATTCAGCAATAATTAAAAACTATTGGTCTATGATACAATTTAGTGATGTAATAAATATATATTAAATTTAACAATTTTCAAATATTTCCAAAGAGAGTTTTCATGAATTCTATTTAAGAAAAATGACAATCTAATAACGCTTGTATACATAGTCATTTTTACAGGACAGAATTCTCCAATAGAGCTCAAAAAATAAAAAAATACATGCAAAATTGAAATGGCATCAATTGAGAATTTTCAATGTGTTCAAAATATATTAAAATGAGATATTTTAATTTTAAATGAATCACATTTTAAAAGGAGATATAGACTATATTTATGAATATTCATGTCATATTAACATGTAACCTATCAATTTCAGTATTTCATATAATAAAGTAATATGAATGTATTATCTACACAATTTATAGTTAAGAAGAAATGATTTAGACATAATTATTAATCTTTCGGTTGATTTTAAAAATCATGATCATTTTTCACATTATTATTTATATCCACCATTAACTATAGTTCTTTGGCCAGTTTTATAGAGCCATTCATGAATAGGAGCTTGAGGAGGTAAGTGAGTACAATGGTAGCAAATTATAAGAAGGGAAAGTAGTAAATCGGCAAGATTTCCAGGAAGATTGGAATTGAGGAAATTGACACTAAAGATGAAAATTATTGGTGAATTTAGGAATATGACAACAGGTGCCTGACACTCTTCTTTGTAGAAGAAAAAAATTGTCCTACACTTTTCATCCTTTTTGGAGAAAAGTGTCATATTGGGGACACATTTTTTAAGATACAAGGTCTCAAATACAAAATATCCTGCATTACAACTTTGCAAGTATTGAAGACTGTATATCTCTGGCTACCTAGAATCTAGAAGTTGTTTTGCAAGCTTGATTATCTGTATTTAACATGGATTTTTATTTTGGCTCCGGTGACAGTAAAAAATCTTTCTTGGCATGTCAGGACAATTTGGTGATTTGAATAGTAGAAATAGCTGTGATTAAATGATACAGACACAATCAATACAAACGGTCAAATAGTTCTTATTCAATGGAGAATAAAGAAAGTCAAATAGCTAATTCAGCATTGTGAAAACCAAACCTTTTTCAGTTTTCAGAAATTTACTCGTTGACTTTGTTAAAGATAATCTGGGTAACTGAGGAAGTCATTATTCTGTCCATACTTCAATGCACTTTTGGGAAACCTTAGCATTTTTATGAACTACAAAGTAAAATGGGTTTTCCATTGCATTGAAAATTTTATTTTCTTAATCCACATCTAATTTGCTTTTCCTGCAGTGACTCATCGTTTACCCTAATATCCCAAACCAAAAAAAAGTAATAATTAATATTGTGTTATAATTGATAATACAAAAACTTCTGTATTTACAAAATATTCTTAGCCCACAGCCGTTTTTTGTGGTCCTCTTCATAATTCTACAGTTTACAGATTAGGAAACTGAAATGTGAGAAATTAAATAAATACATTGTTTAAGACTAGGAAACAAACTGATGTCTGTCAGCAACTAAAACTATGCTCTTTTCATTCTGTCCGGGTATTTTGGTGATAATAAGGCAGGACCTTGCCCATATTTGGTTCAGTCAGTGTAACTGTTTAAGCAGACAGGTTTGGAAGTGAAATAGCTATCTCACTTGAAGAAACGTAGCCTAACTTTTTATTCCCATTTCCTCATCTGAAAAATGGAAATAATGATAGGACCAAACTCACAGCTCTTTGGTGGGTATAAATGAGATTATCTATTCAAAAGCAATCGGGAAGCAATCAGTAACAGAAGAACAAAACCTGTGATTCTCCTTATATAAGTTACTTAAACAAGAAATACTCATGGAAGCAGAGAATGGAATTGTGATTGTCAGGTGCCATGAACTGAGTGGGTAGTAGCACATTGTTGCTCAATGAATATAAAGATCTATTATGCAACATAAGTAAGTAAGTTCTGCTGTGCCACATATACACTCCTGGTCTGCCCCAGGAGACCCAGAACCAGATGCTACCCATGAACTGAGGCTCCAGGCACATCCCTGAGGACCCAAGTTTCGAGGTGCTCCTTGCAAGCCCCAGACCACGGCCAACTCTGCAGACTTAGACTCCTCTACTGAGAGGACCAGGCGCAGTGGCTCACATCTAGTAATTCTAACATTTTGGGAGGATGAGGCAGGAGGATCACTTGAGGCCAGGAATGTGAGACGCCTGGGCAACATAGTATAACCCCATTTCTAGTTGGGCATGGTGGCATTAGCTGTAGCCAGTTAGGAGGCTGAGGTGGAAGGATCACTTGCCCTTGGCAGGTGGAGGCTGCAGTGAGCCATGATCACATCACTGAACTCCAGCCTGGGTGACACGACTAGACCCTGTCTCATAAAAGAATAAAAATAAAAATACACAGTAGAGGATAGATCTAATGTTAAATGGTCTTATCACAAACACACACACATACACATATACACAAATGAACACAACAGGGAATAGATATGTTTGGAGGCAATAGAGGTGTTTAGTACATTGAGTTTTTTGACAGTATCATATATATATGTATATATATAGACACACACATATATACATATATATACACATATATACATGTATACATATATATAAAATATGTATATGTATATATATGTCCAAACTCAGGGATGTATACATTAAATATGTGCAATTTTGTACATAAAAAGCAATTAGCAAAATAGAGATTGATACATAATAACTGATAATATTTATTCAGTGTTTACTGTATTTTTTTGGAGGATTGCGTATTCACAGGTAAATAGAGTTAAACTGCATGGAACATGATAAAGGTCACCAAACCTAGTTTTACACTTAATCTCATAAAGCTTAACTGAATTTTTTTTCATTTTTGCTGCAAACCAAGATCATAAATTAAGCAATAATTATTAAGGAATCAAGTTATGAATATAGGTGTGACTTCATATAACTAAGGTAATTTTTATGACTTCAAATCACATTAGACTGTTCAAGAAAATACATATGTACAATACATTTTAAAAACTGTCAACAAATATTTAAATGGAGCCCACCACTTCCTTTATCATATGCATATTTTCAAAAAAGGCAGGCTGTGTGTATATCAAAACAGCAAATTCCAGATCAGTACAAGATAATTACAAAAAAAACATTTAAAATGAATTAAAAGATATGTAGTTAACTTTTCATGCACAGAAATAAGCTAAGCAAATTTTAAAAATAAATTTAAAATTGATATATTTTAGTATAGTGTGTCATACGACAATTTGTATACTCGAAATAAAAAGTTTTAAATAATTCAACAAGAGTCCCCATGGCTTTATCTTTAGTGTAGTGTTTAGAATTAATTTCTTTGTCAAGACTTTGTCAGAAGCCTAGCCATTCACAAGATTGCAGAATAGGAGTCTCCAGTGCTCATTCCTTCAAAGAACATCAATTTGAACAACCATCTACATCTGAAAATACCTTCACAAAAGCTAGAGAATCCAAGTGAGAGATTACAGGCCCCGGGTGAAGCAAAGAATTGAGAAAAGATATACTGAGCAGGGTAGAAAGCTCAGTTTTACATTACTCACATAACTCCTCCCTCAAGTTGCACATCACAACATATAGAGAGATACCCTCTACTTGGGATGGGGGAGTAAAGTCAGCATCCAACACACCGAAGACCTCAGCATCAGGCCCACCCCAGTGTACCCAAATACCAGAGCAGCCCATACAGACCCAAGCTCAAGATCTGCCCCAACACCTGGCCATCCCTTGTAATCCCAAGCTTCAGGCTAGTCCCTAAAGACACAAGCTCTGGCAGACCCAGGATCTTGGTCTGCCCCAGGAGACCCAGAACCAGATGGTACCCATGAACTGAGGCTCTAGGCACATCCCTGAGGACCCAAGTTTCAAGGTGCTCCTTGCAAGCCCCAGACCACGGCCAACTCTGCAGACTTAGACTCCGGGGCCACGCGTCCCCAAACTACGGCCCATGGTCCACATGTGGCCCCCTGAGGCCATTTATCGGGCCCCCCGCTGCACGTCAGGAAGGGGCACCTCTTTCATTGGTGGTCAGTGAGAGGAGCACAGTATGTGGTGGCCCTCCAACGGTCTGAGGGACAGTGAACTGGCCCCCTGTATAAAAAGTTTGGGGACGCCTGCTCCAGGCCCACCCCAATGCTAGGCCCGTCACTATCAACTTAGTCTCAACACCGGCTCCAACAGCAAGTTGGTCCCCGTAGATTCAGGCTTCAGGCTGGTCCCCATGGACCCAGGCTTCAGTACAAACTCAAAATATTCAGACTCTGACCCAGCCTACCCAAGGACTTCAGAAACAAATTCAATGTTGGACCCTATTATTCAGCCTGTCCAGAATATCTGAACAGGTTGACTGGTAAACAGTTTTGCTGCCAAAGTCAGATTATAATACAAGGCCGTTAAAAAATATTGCACTAGTATCTAACCCTAAAATATGAAAATCTGAAAACTCTGACAAAAAATTCAAAATATTCATTTTAAAGAACTCAGTGAGCTACAAACTAACATAACCAACCAAGTAAAATGAGGAAAACTACTTGAACAAAATAAGAAGTTCTAGAAAGAAATAGAAATTCAAAAAAAGAAAAGAAAAGAAAAAAATATATATATACATTATGGAGCTGAATTACAAACAATTAAAATATTCTATACAGGTCACCAACAACAGACTTCATCAAACAAAAGAAATAATGCAATAACTTGAAGACAGGTCATTGTAAATTACACAGTCAGTAGAATGAAAAGAAAAGAAACTAGAGTAAAAATATTTTATGACACTTATAGAATATCATCAAGTGATCCAATATACATGTTATGGAATCCTCAGAAAGGAAGCAGAGAAAGAGAAAGGTGCAGAAAGGCTATTTCAGGAAATAATAAAAGATAATGTTCCAACTATAAGAAAAATAATGAACATCCAGATCAATAAAACTCAAAGAAGTGAAACAGGATAAATATACAGGGGCCTTCACCAAGATACATTAAAATCAATTCTCAAAAATCAAAGACAAACAATTTTTGTTAATGGCAAGAGAAAAGTACC